TATATGTATATATAGTGATAATCATAAAAATGTTTATTCTCTTTTATACATTTTCTTCCAGAAAATAGGCCAATACAAACTAAGATGCTGTCTTCAGAGTTACAGATCTATTTGGAACAGAAAGAGTTCACTAAAATAAATATGTCAGAAACAAAGTCCCCTCCTGAAAAATTCTCTAGCAGCTTGATTTTCTACCCTGTTCAGAGTGTGTGCTTTGAAACATAGCAAAATCCTCAGAAATTAGTTTAATACTGTATCAAGCATAAGTCAGACTTCCTTTAAAGGTCTGTGCACTGTCCAACCTCAGGTACCAAAACCTGATATCAATGTCAGATGTGATGCAGACCTTAAATTCAATTAGACAATAGTTTGTTGGCTGAAGACAACCCAAAGAGCACGGATACAAACCTGGCACTATACACACGTGTGTGTGTGTGTGTGTGTGTGTGTGTGTGTACAGAAACTTTGTGGGGTTGAGGAAAGGGGTGCAATACAGGATGGACTCTAAATATGATCAATATATACTGTATGAAATTTTCAAGCATAAATTCAATTTCAGTGAAAGTTAGTTTAAATAAATGATGGCAAAGTATAATATGATATCTGTGACCTTGACTTTCCTTACCCTATAGTGCCTGTTTATATCCTTTGTAAATTATTCATATCCTTGTAAATTATTCATTCAAAGTATAAGATGATATCTGTGACCTTGACTTTCCTTACCCTATAGTGCCTGTTTATATCCTTTGTAAGTTATTCATAGCCTATAGATTCTAGTTTAGACACTGCACAATTCTTCTTAGTAATTTACTATGTTTTTCATTTAAGCTGCTATACATTAAATCGTATTTAGGCACAAGATTTACATGACAATTAGAGACTAGAAGAAGATTAGCATTTCACCATCTGCATTAAACTTTTAGCACTGCAGAAAAATAAGAGATGAAAGTGTAATATCACTATAGTGTGCGATTGGAATGGTTGAGCAATAAGATGATGGTGTCTGTAGTTCGAGCTGGAGCTTCACAGAAGCTTTTCTGTGGTCAATGATGTAAAGGTTAGGAGCTGCAACCTACTCAGTACAGCACCAGGTAAGAAGAGCATATGGCAGGTGGATATACTGGGTATGAGAGTGCCAAGGCAGCACAGAAAGGGGACAAGTTTAAGATAAGAACTAATGATAAATACCTAGAGTATAGGTGCTCAGACGTCAAGAAGAAACATCATGGGAGATGGAAAGAAAATGGCATTTTAGATGCTTTTCTCATTGCTCTGTCAAAACAATTGTGTAAATTAACATAGGAAGGAACAGTTTATTGCGCTCTTCTTTTCAGAGTATAATGCATCATGACAGGGAAAAGTGATGGTGTTTGTAAGGCAGCTGGTCACATTAAGTCCCCAGTCAGAAAACAGAGATCACTGAATGCTGCTACTCAGCTCATTTTCTCTTTTTTAAAAATTTAATCCAGCTCCACAGTGTATAGAAGGTTGCTGCTCCCCAATCACAGTTAGGGACTTCCCCCTAAACCGAATCTAGGAATTCCTCACAGATATGCCCAGGCGATTCTAGATCTTATCAAGCTGATGATCAGCATTAATCACAATGATCATTTCACCAAATTGCAGGATATAATAAAAATGTATATTCTTGAGGCCTGTGAATAAAATAATTTATTAAGATTTATGTCTATGGATGTTGCCTGAAAAACAGATTGGAAGAGAGTACAGGACCATAAAGGAAACCATGTTAGGAGTTGTATTTGCCTTGTCCATAGAAACAGGTTACACACATATAAGAGCACATGTAAGCACACTCAAGCCTACTAGTATACACAAATTTTCACATAGATATTTTGTGAGTTTTTAAGAAACTGTCTCGTGGATTTCATACATAGCGGGAGACAGAGAGAGGTGAAGAGAGAGAGATAGAAGGAAACAGAGGGAAAGAGCAGAGAGGAGACAGGAGGGGAGAAAGAAGAGAGAAAACTGGAGAGAGAGAAAACAGCCAGTGAAAAAGAGAGAGGGAGAATTAAAGGTCAGTGTTAGGCTGGAGCCAGAAGCTCTTCCTCTTCAGAGGAACTCTGAAGATAATGCCCACTCTTTTTAAGTATGATATTCTAATTATTGAGTATTAAATGCTAATCTCATCTAAAAATACCATAAAAGGCTATTTGGACAGGAGTTCAACCAAAAATCTAGGCAACACATATTAGTTAGACACATACAACTAACCTTTCTAGATATTATTCATTGCTAACTGGATGTGAAAGCAGTCGGCTTGAAGTGGGAGCATGGACAGTGAATGTGGAGACTACCAGTAGATAAATGCCAGGCTCAAATGTACAGATCTTTGTGACCCAGTGTAGGAATTCAGAGAGGGCCAAACACTGAAACACCCTCATGTTTCTAAATCAATGAGGTTATCAGTGACAAGTTCCCTAAGTGGACTGGAGCATGCTGGGGGTGAGAAGACAGAGGAAGGTCAGAAATGATGGAGCTATTTGCATATGGAGATTACCTAAGTGCCATATCACCCTTTTCTTCTGTAAAAACACCCCTGCCCAAACAAACAATATTGGAGTCAGAGGACAGGAATACCAATCTAACAGATGTATAGGCCCCATCCCAGTACATGATCCTACTGCAATAAAAATTTCTAGCAATTTTATTGTATGTTCTATGCAGTAATTTTCTCTCAGAATGTATTTTGTCATAATTATAGTTACTGTACACCCTTAAGGGTGAACTGCTGTTCAAAATGAACACACAAACTATTACATAGTTAATAGATTAAATTTATAACAGATAACTACTTTAAACTATGAATACACCAGAAATTGAATTTTGGGGATATATTTTTTGCAGAGAAAAATTTGGTATTCTTGATTATACATGAAATTTATTAAATGTATCTCACTAAAAACCTATATTCTATTATTAGATTTCTTAATAGCCACCTTATCATTGGTTAAATATTTAACACAGCATGTATTTCAACTACAGATACTCAGTTCCTCTTTTTACTATGTCTGTGAAATATCATTATATTTCAAGTCCTACAAAATAACTGTCTCTGTCAAAATAATTTCTTACCAAGCTGTCTCTTCAGAGCTCCTTTAATCTCATTATTCCTCAGACTGTAGATGAGGGGGTTCAACATGGGGATCCCCACAGTGTAGAACACAGATACCACCTTATTCTGGTCAGTGGAGAAGGTGGACTTGGGCATCACGTAAATGAATGTGGTGGTTCCATAGAACAGAGTGACTGCAGTGAGGTGGGAGGTGCAGGTGGAGAAGGCCTTCTGACGGCCCTCATTGGAGTGCATCTTCAGGATGGTGATGAGGATGTAGGTGTAGGAGACAGCTATGGCTAACACTGTGATCATCACAGCAGTTCCAGTAGAAAATGAGGTGATAGCTGTGAGGATGGTGACATCAGAACAGGAAATTTCAACTAAAGGAGTAAAGTCACAGAAAAAATGATTGACTCTGTTTGGTCCACAGAAGAAAAAATAAAAGAAGGAAAAGGTATAGGAGGAAGCATTAAGAAGACCACCTATGTAAGATCCTATAAGCAACTGAACACAGATGTGAGTTGACATTTTGCTTGAATAAAGCAGTGGGCTACAGATTGCCACAAAGCGATCATAAGCCATGACAGCCAGAAGGTAGCACTCAAGTGTCCCAAAGAAAGCGGCTGAGCCAAGCTGGATAACACACCCAAGGCAGGAGATAGTATTCCTCTCCACTAGGAAGTTAACAAGCATGTTGGGTGTGACAGTAGATGAAAGGCCTATGTCAGTAGAAGCCACGTGACTCAGAAAAAAATACATGGGGTGATGGAGCTGAGGGGAGACTCTGATTAGGAAGATTGTGCTGAGGTTGCCAGACACAATCACCAAGTAGACACACAGGATGAAGAGGAAGAGGGTGACTCGAAGGACCGGGTCATCTGTTAAGCCAAGTAAAATGAACTCCATCACTGCAGTATGGTTTCCATGCCACAGGAGAGCCATGGGACAGTATAGCTGCTGCCAAGACAAAGCTGTGGTGAAGAGATTACATGGAGGAATTTACAAGCATTTGGTTCCATTTTTATTAAAATATACATGAGAATATCATCAAATATATGATTCAAAAGTTTGGTGTAGCAATTGATATTTTACTTTGGACTGTCAATTGTCATATAGTGATGTGCTATGAATGTTTTTAATTTTAAAAACAGAACTACTAGAACTTGGCTTTAAATAATGTTTAACTTTTCTTTACACTTAATTGTAGTAAAATACACTTTATTTTAGTAAAGTAAAAATGTCTAAAGATTTCAAAATGTGAGACTTATGGGACTGGAGAGATGACTGTGCACTTAAGAGGACTGGCTGCTCCAGCAGAGGACTTGGGTTCACTTCCTAGTACCCTAATGGTGGCTAACAACCATCTGTAACTCCAGTTTTAGGAAATCCAACACTCTCTTCAGGCTTCTGTGGACATTGCACAACATGAGTGTATTTACACACATGCAGTCAAAATATTCATACAAAGAAAATAAAAATAAATAATAAAAACAAGGTTTGTGAAAATAACAACATAGTTAAAAATATAATAACGTTTCAAAGTGTACAAGGATAGATTTCTGTATTGAATACTTAAATAATGGCTAACCTTTAGTAAATCAGTACCTACTGAAACATTAGCCCAGGGCTTAATATTTGTATGTAATTCTATTTTCACTCCCTTTTAATAGTATTAATTACTTTTATCACTTCCATTATGCAGTTGAAAAAACTTACTTTGAAAATGCTAATTAACAGAAGACAACTTAATGAACAGAATAATTAGATTTGAAGCCTAGGCAGATTGTATTAAATCTATTCCTTTCAGTGCCCATATCATATATGAGGAATTGCAAAGAATTTGAGTGCAAATATAAATTTGGGAGACATTGCAGGGCAATGCTTCTGCTCTGATAGTTAATGAAAGATGTGCTTTGCTGGTGAAATTGAACATAAAGTTGATTCAACTAAACCATTGCTCTATCAAGCCATTTAAATTATTAATCTAAGTACCATGTAAAAGATGTATAATTTGTAAAACATTATTATTAATGGTCATTTATTCGGAGGCATGATTTGTTTTCCTAATGTAACAGTGTTTCTTGCCTAAAAATGGTGGAAGGAAATAATGTGATTGTCAACAAAGTACACTGGTGAACACTTATTCAGCCTGAAATGTTAAGAAGGTTCACCTGCAGGTTGCAGGTTGACCCTCACCTCCAGAGATTTCTGGCTTCATATCTTCCTTTTGTCAACAGTGTCTACAGTCTGTGATGACACAGCAGGTTTTTCCACTAGATGTTCACAGACATCATCAAAGCATCTTCTGAGTCAGCGTACTTATTAGCATTTTTCTTATTCACTGAATTCATATATTTTAAAGACCAATTTAGATTATTGTGTTGTTATTGGATTAAAGAATATGCAGTCCTCAAAACTGAGTTTTATGCCAGATTATCCAGCAGAATTTGACTCTGGATATATAAGTTGATTCCGAGAGGCTTTTTTTTCCCATTTGCTTCATGATTGCTTGATTCAACCAGACTTGCTTCTTGTCTATGGTTTATTCATACAGGAAAAAT